TATACATATATATATATATATATAAAGAGAAGTACAAAACAAGGTATATATACAGAGGAGGTGAGATCAGGTCCACAATGGTCCTGTATATATACACCTGTTTTGTACTTCTTCAGTCTGTATCACCCGTGAAGATGTGAATTACAGGAAAGCGCTTGGGAACTTCTGTGTTTTCTTTCGGTTATCAGCTATACTGAATCACGCGCACACCTACAGTGATTTACTTGCATATATATATATATATATATATATATATATATATATATATATATATATATATATATATATATATATATATATATATATATATATATATATATATATATATATTTCATGTAGATCCACATGAAACGTGATAAATCTGAACAACGGAGCACCTTGTCTTCATTCAGCTGCCTCAGATGTTCCTGAATAAATACTAGTTTAGGTGCCCGTTGTTCCTTTCCCGTGTGATTTATCATATATATATATATATATATATATATATATATATATATATATATATATATATATATATATATATATATATATATATATATATATATATATATATATATATATATATATATATATATATATATGCAAGTAAATCACTGTAGGTGTGATCTAGGTGTTTTCTTTCTTTCCTTGTGGTTATCAGCATATATATATATATATATATATATATATATATATATATATATATATATATATATATATATATATATATATATATATATTACTGTTTATCCACCTATCTGTCTACTTATTAATATAGTTTGTATGTACAGTATGTATGTATGTATGTACAGTATGTTCTTAATTTGCTTGCTTAAATATTTTGGGTGTCACCTCACATACCTTCCTCTCCCACCTCGGAGATGTCCTTGTTCTGGACGTGTTATGTAGCCCAGTACGGAGAAGATGACGAACCCCGCCAGGAAACTTGTCAGGCAGTTGATGGAAGACGTTAGTAGCGCATCCCTGAAGGTGCAGGAGTCAGTAGTCAGTGGTGGAGGAATCAGTGATGGTGTTTAGTAAAGAGTTAGTAACGGTTGTTATTTTCGTTACTGGTGGTACAAATGATAAAGGCTTATTTACTTTCTAATGTTAATATGTGAGTCGAAACTTATGTTGTAAATTACACCTAAAGCACCATGGATGTACCTAAGACAGTCTTGACTCCTGTTGTAGTAAATTTCGAAATAGTTTGGTTTCTAATTTGTTAATTCTGTCTTCGTGGTGCGAACGATTCAGTGTATTGGAAAGGAATTGCATAATGATTAGTTCATCTACCGCTTATTTCACCTGTTCAATAACCTAACCTAACCTAACCTAATGATAACCAAGACTAAACTAAATTAATAAAACCTAACCTAACCTAACCTAACCTAACCCGGTATAGTTGTAAATTACTAATGTATCATGAAATATATGGGTTAATTATTTCATACCAGGGAATACAGTGTTAAAGAGCATTATTTAGCCCCTGTCCACCCCCTCCCTCACTCTCTCTCTGTCCACCTCCTCAAACTCTCTCCAAATAGAATTTCTTCCTCTACCCCTCACAAACCCTCCCACCACCCTCTCCTGTTCCTGACTTTCCTCTCCCTCTTCACTCCTGCTATTCTAGACCCTCTCCCATTTCTCCCATTTAAGTTTCTCCTCCTCCTCTTTCTAACCTTCTTCCCGTCCTGCTTTCATACTTCTTCCTACTCCTCTTCTTGACCCTCTTCCATCCTCTTTTCGAACATCCTCGTCCTCATCTTTCTAACTCTCTTACTCTTCCCCAACACCCCTTTCCTGTCCCCCGTCCGCCCGCCAGACTCAACAAGTGAGGCAGGAGTGACAAACCTGTGGTGGACGGACGATTCGTCACCAAGACCTGGAACCAAGTCTGTCTTGTGACTGTCACTGCTGCCGCTACCGCCACCAGGGACTATCAACACTGCCACCACTGTTGCCACCACTGTTGTCACTACTGCAACCGCTGTTACCTCTACTGCCACCATCGGATCGCCCCTATCAACAATGCCACTACTGCTGCCACCACCGCTACTATCAACACTTCCACCACTGCCACTATCGCCTCTAGAACACTGGCACCAGTAGTGCCACTACTGCTGCCAACTCTACTGACAAAACTGCTGCCAACACTACAACTACCACTGCTGCCAATACTATTAATGCTACCACTAATGCCAAGACTACCGCCACCACTAATTCCAAGACTACCGCCACCACTGTTGCCAACACCACTGACACTACCGCCACCACTATTACCAACACTACTAACACGACCGCCACCATAGCTGCCAACACGACTGACACAGAGGGCGACCTCACCCTACCCGGAGACCTGGCGGTTGAGATTGACCTGATAACGAGATTTGAGGTTGCCGAGTTCCACTACAATTTAAATAATGAGCTACTTAATACACAAAGGCAGAACATACCATCCGAAAAACTCAGATCAAACAATAATGACCCTAAATAGATAAATAATTATTTATAGAACATTATTGGACAAAGGAAGGCTATAGGTAGGAGAATAAATCGTGGAGAAGTTTACCTCCAAGATTACTATAAGGTATTAGCCGGTAGGGTTAAGACCGAGATATGAAAACCCAAGAGGAATAATGAGCTGAAGATAGAGAGGGAGGCGAAGTCAAACCCCAAGGGATTCTATAAAATGTATCAAACTAAAACACGAGAAAAAAATTGGACCAATACAGTCAGATACCGGGGAGCTAACTGATAAAGACGGAGAAATGAGCAATAATCTGAATAAATATTTTTCAACAATTTTCACCACCGAAAATTTAAACATGATACCCGAAGCTCCGACTCTATACAGAGATAGTGAAGAAAATAAATTAAGCGAGATAGTAGTGACTAGTAACGATGTTAGTAAGCAAATAGACAAATTAAAGCCTAATAAGTCACCAGGTCCGGATGAGATATTTGCCAGAGTATTAAAGGAATGTAAGGAAGAGCTTAGTATGCCCTTAGCAAAGTTGTTAACATGACCTTAAAAACAGGTGTAGTACCAGAATCCTGGAGAATAGCGAATGTAATGCCGATTTTGAAGGAGACAGATCACTATCCTCTAACTACCGTCCAATCAATCTAACATCAATTGTAGTCAAATTATGGAAGCAATCATTTCAAACTCTATTCGAAATCACCTGAGAAGCACAAGTTGATCAATGATTCCCAACATGGCTTCACAAGCGGGCGTTCATGTCTAACTAATCTATTAAAATTTTTTCATCAGTTTTCGAATCAGTGGACGAGGGGCACAATTATGATGTGGTATATCTCGACTTTAGCAAAGCCTTCGAACAGAGTCCCCCACATAAGACTAATAAGAAAAGTGGAGGCTCATGGCATTAAAGGTCATATTCTAAAATGGATTAGGGTGTGGTTACAGGACAGGAAACAGAGAGTGAGCATTAACGCCACTAAATCCCATTGGAGTAACGTCACTAGTGGAGTTCTGCAAGGCTCAGTACTTGGACCATTATTATTTATTATATACATAAACGACATAGATATCGCCTTAGACAGCAACATAAGTAAATTTGCTGATGACACTAAAATAGGGCGTGTAATTAAATCTGGCGAGGACTCCGCAAAACTACAGGAAGATCTAAACAAATTTTTCGAATGGTCTGAAAAATGGCAGATGAAATTCAATGTGGACAAATGTAAAGTACTCAGTACATGAGATGTAAACAGGGAAACCAGATACCAGATGAATTACGATGTTATTGAGAAATCCGACTGCGAGAAAGATTTAGAAGTAATGATAAGCAGGAATTTTAAGCCAAGTAAGCAATGTGTATTTGCTCGAAACAAGGCTAATTGAGTACTTGGGTTCGTACAAAGGAGTGTTAGTTACAAGATTAGAGAAGTCATCTTAAAACTATACCTTGCGCTTGTGAGACCTCACCTGGATTACGCAATTCAATTCTGGTCATGGTATTACAGAATGGATATAGAATCCTTGGAAAGAATTCAGAGGAGAATGATAAGACTAATCCCGGTTATTAGGAACCTCGAGTACAGAGACAGGTTAAACATTTTAATTTTCCCTTGAGAGACGTAGAGTGAGGGGCGATGTGATAGAGGTCTATAAGTGGAAGTCAGGGCTAAACAAAGGGGACATTACAAGGTATCAAACTATAAAACCAGGAGCGAACTCGTAACAATGGTTTAAATTAGACAAATTTAGATTTCAGCGATAGGTAAACACTGGTTTGGAAATAGATTAGTGGGCGAGTGGAACAAGTTACCAAATATCATTAACTCGAATACGCTGGATAGCTTCAAATATAGGTTGAATGGATATATGAGCAATAGGGGTTGGGTGCAAATGGGCCAATAGAATCGCTGCAGTTTCCTCCATTCTTATGTTCTTATGTTGTACCGTACCACTGCTGCCGAAAATACCGCCAAACTACTGCCAACACTACGGCCACCACTGCTGCCAACACTACCGTCACCACTGCTGCCAACACTACAGCCACCACTGCTGCCAACACTACTAACACTACCGCCACCTGCTACCAACACTACTGACACTACCGCCACCACTGCTACCAACACTACTGACACTACCGCCACAACTGCTGCCAACACTACGGCCACCACTGCTACCAACACTACCGCCACCACTGCGCCAACACCACCGCCACCACTCCTGCCAACACTACTGACACTACCCATGCATCCACTGCCAGCACTACTGATTACCGCCACCACTGCTGCCAACAATACTGACACATACCACCACAACTGCTGCCAAAACTACTGACACTAACACCACCACTGCTGCCAAATCTACCACCACCACTGCTGCCAACACTACCGCTACCACAGCTGCAAGACACCGCTACCACTGCTGAACTAATACTACCGTCACCACTGCTGTCAACACTACCACCACAACTGCTGCCAACACTACTGCAACCACTGCTGCCAACACTACCTGCACCAATGGCCAACACTACCGCCACCACTGCTGCCAACACTACTGACACTACCGCCACCACTGCTGCAATACTACTGACACTACCGCCACCTGCTGCCAACACTACTGACACTACCGCCACCACTGCTGCCAACACTACTGGCACTACCGCCACCCCCGCTGCCAACACTACTGACACTACCGCCACCACTGCCCAACACTACTGGCACTACCGCCACCACTGCTGCCAATAGTACTGACACTACTGCTGCCAACACTACCACCGCCACTGCCAACACCTCCGTAATACCGCCACCACGGCTGCCGACACTACTGACACTACCGCCATCATTGCTGCCAAAACCACATTCACCATGCCTGCAGCAACACTGCTGACACCTGCCACCAGCGCCAACAGTTGCTGACACTACCGCTACCAATGCTGCCAACACTAAAGTACCACGGCTGCCAACACTACTGACACTACCGCCACCATTGCTGCCAACACTACTGACACTACCGCTACCAATGCTGCCAACACTAAAGCCACCATTGCTGCCAACACTACTGACACTACCGCCACCATTGCTGCCAACACTACTGACACTACCGCCACCATTGCTGCCAACACTACTGATACTTCCGCTACCAAGCGGCCTTCTACGCCACCATTGCTGCCAACACTACTGACACTACCGCCACCATTGCTGCCCAACACTACTGATCTCCCGCTACCAAGGCGGCCAACACTAAAGCCACCACGGCTGCCAACACTACTGACACTACCGCCACCATTGCTGCCAACACTACTGACAATACCGCCACAATGCTGGCAACACTACTGACACTACCGCTACCACTGCTGCCAACACTACCAACACTACCGCCACAATTAACACTACTGACACTACCGCCACCATTTGCCAGCACTCACTGACACTACCGCTACCACTGCTGCCAACACTACCAGCACTCCGCCACATTGCTGCCAACACTACTGACACTACCG